GCAGCCAACGAGCAAAAAATTGAAATAGTCAATACTCTGCGACAAAATTTATTTTATTGGTCTTTTGAAGTATGCTAATTAATATAAAGGGAAGCGGGGAAATTAAAAGCTGTTCATAAGCTACCCTCAACATGAAAAAATTGCTGACCAAATTCATCTTTCCTCTCCCTCATTAAAACATACACTTTTTGCCTACATCACTGTGCTTCTATGGGCTTCTTGAATGCATTAACCACTCAGCAGATCAGTGGGTGACTCGCATTGTCAGTTATTGCCCACATTTAGCAGATGTTATTTCCCCAATGGGTTTTTTATTATCCCCTGCTCTGAAGGCTGTTTTGCCCACACCGCGATCTTTTTTTATGTAAGTACCCTATCCACTAAAAAAAGTGTCCCTGTCCCTGAAGTGTTTTTCTATTACGTTGAATATTATGTACACTTCAAGACGAATTGGATGCTGTGTTCTAGCTAAAAGTCAACAAAACTTTGAAATATGTCTGTGGATATTTGTTATCAAGTATGCGCCTCATACGATGTTGACAAAGTTACCATGGTCGTTCATACAGCCCCCCTCCAACATAATTCCAAAACATTCTTTCAGACAATATCGCTGAAAGTACCATATGCGCATAAAACATTGTCAATTGAACACGTGTATAATAACAGTAATATACTAGGAATAATAAATTATGTTTGTTATTTCAGGAATAAAATGGAAGCCAGTGAAGAAACTATCAGAAGATGGTTACTATCGGAGCCAAAATACGTTGAACACTGGTATTGTTTTGACACCATCGGATCTAATTTTTTTGAGAAAATGACTTTGGAAAATCCACACTATCATCTTTACAGGGCAGAAAAGGAAATCCTGAAAAAACACGCAGGCAAGTATATCGCTTATTGTTATTCATGCTAGTATTTACAATAGTATGACATGTGTAGAAATTTCAGTTCACCAGTGCGTATATCAGTCAATAAGGTATGTTGTATGTAAAGAATATATAAATATTTAGTGCATGAAAAAAATGGAAAATTTCATTGAAACATTATTAACAAAGAAGTGAAGTAACATATTATAAAAAATATAAACACATCTACAGTAGAGACCAAATAAAACTGAGTTTTCCATTCAATTTCAAATAGTACACATGCTACTGAGATCATTAGTTTGTCAATAATGATGATTCATCCATTGCAGATGAAATCGTCTCGCATTTGCAAGATGTTAGCGTTTGCGAGCTAGGTTCTGGAAATTCCAGTAAAACCACCCCTCTGTTTTCATCGTTATTGAAGAACAACAAATCAGTCACTTATATTCCGATAGATGTAGCTAAAGGTACGTTTACAAAATGTGAGAACTACAATGTTTTTATTGTTAGAAAGTACATAACAAATGTTTGCTTTGAATGCCAATAGTTGGATTACTCGGTATATTTTTTTAAATCGCATATTGAAGTGTGATGTAATAAATACAATGCACAGATCTTAATTAATC